TTTCGGTTTAGAACTAAAATGAGTATTAAAATCTGATCAGACTTATCTAATACTCATCATAAATGATTACTCGGCCAAGTGGGAGAATGTTGGACACGTTTTTATTATGTGGCCTGAGTTATCATTTATCTAATTAATTGATCATTGACCTAATAAATACCCTACGTATTTATTTGGTAATTATTCGATGGACGTAATTACCCTTATGACCTAATTAGGGTTTCCCCTTGGGTGTATATAAATAGATGTATTAGGCAGAGATCAATACACCAATCTTACGCCTCCTCTCTGCCTCTCTATTCTCGTGAGTCTCATCCTCACCTTAGCCATCATAACGATACACCCTAAACTGGAACTCAATCTGCGTGAGAATCATGGCCTCATCCCTAACTGCGTTTACAGGATTATCAGGTACACATGATTAAATCCCTAATTTATATTTTATGTTTAAGAATTGATCAACAAATCAATCTGTATATAAAAAGGCACAGATGCAAGTAGTATGAGCCACATAGAATTCCATGTATGGTGACACTCATAGTTCAAGTGTCAAAGATAAAATCAAATGCCAATATGGATAGAACGTAATATTCCTTTCGTCTGGATTAAGATGTCAACTTTTCCCAATCCCTCGAAATTAAGGAATGTAGTGAATTGGTAGAAATATCCCTTGGAACGGACTTGTCTTCCATGGTTTGACAACAAAGTCAAATATGCTATTGAAGGGCATTTTGGGTACTTTTCACCATTTATTCGACAAATAAGGTAAGTTGACAATTACTTCGACATCCAAAAAACATGGTTAACTATATTCAGGAAAGTAATTGAAAATTTGAAGCTTTTGTGGATGTCATTATCTCAACAATAATAAATATGACTTGAAATAGATAGACACAATAACATTCACACTTATCATATGACTCCATTAGAATGCCAGGCCTGAAATCATAGCTTTGTTTTGATGATCAATGATCAATAGGGAAGGTATTACCAAAGAAAAAAATTAAACAATAAAACCATCTAAATGAATAAATATGGAAGCAGTGAAAAACATATAACAATAGGGTTTATTGGTGCCTACTGAAGTTTTCTTTTTCAATGAATCAAAGCTACAAGTGACATTTTTTCTAACAATGGAAATTCATCTCAACACCTGAATTCCACTACTCATATCGGGAAGATATCATGATTATTAGAGCACTAGAAATACCCGTGAAGCCCCGGGGCTTCAAACCGGGGCTTCAAAATTTCTCTCTCTGCCACGTCAGCTTTAACTTACCTCACAGATTCAGTGGAAATGGGTTTGAAGCCCCGGAGCTTCAAACATGGGCTTCAAACCTTCATTTTTTACATTTTTAAATATATATCTTCTAAAATTAAATTAATAAAATTAAATTATTTTATTATTTAATTATATTGGAACAAGAATAATTAAAAAATTAGATTCATTAAATTAAAAGAAATTGAAGCGATAATAATTTTAAAAAATTGCATTCATTAAATTAAAAAATTTAATTATAAAATGGGAGAGAGATGGAGTTTGAAATTTATAAAAAAAATTATTTAATTTTTTCTTTTTTTTTTTGCTTAAAACGGCTAAATTTGCCGTTATAAGGGGAAGAAATTGCGTTAAAGGAATGACGCTGGAACGATCACGCCACAATGAAGCCCTAGGGGGGCGGTGTTTAACGCCCCCTGGGCTTCAAAAGCATCATAACACCGGGTGGCGTTACTAGTATTACCAGTGGCCTTACTCGCAACAAACTAACCAAGGCTCGTGTTCCATTGTACCAAAAAAATAAAACAAGTACTCCCTCCATCCAACAATAATCTTCCCATTGCGCATTACGATGTTTGACTGAAGTTATTTTCAAATCATTTTATATGAAAATAGTGAGGAATTTAAAAAATAAAAATTAAATATTTAAAAACTACGGAGTACATCAAAAGACTTACAAATCTAGAAGTTAAATGACTTTATTATTTTATCAAATAGGCATCGAAAATAGACCAACAAAATGGATAAAATTTGACCCTATGAATAGAGGGAATGGGAAGATCATTTTTGGATGGAGGAAGTAAATCTTATGAGATTTCCAAATAAACTCAAGCGCATTCTACTGGAGCAAAGCTAAAAGCACCACGACTGATGATTTCTATATATAGCAACTCATAAAGGCCTTATGGTCTTTTCCATTTGGCAGAAAAGATTCTTTCATCTATGGCAATGTTCAAATAGTCCGAGCCATGAAAATTCAAGATCTCATAATAATCTGAGCCACAACACTCATCCTCTGGATGGCAATTACCAAATGTTGATCACATAACACAAGGAATAGTTAGGCCTTCTGATCGATTTCTTTCGAGGAGATCAACTGATACAAAATAGAGAGATCTCTTATTAACGCATTGGCAACTCCACTTGTGAGTGTTAAGAATTTTTATTTTATTTTATTTTTTTTGTATAATTGTATGTTTAAAATTATGAGCGCCCGCACGTTCATAACATGAATGTTAAGAACTTCATTTTGGGATTTAAGGTAGTGCATATGCTCCCTAAAGTTTAGTTATTCACTCTTCAAAACTTATCAAATTTAAGGAAAGAAGGTAAAATTACAAACAATACCCTCAAATTTGTAGCATAGAGGGCACTCCTATTTTATTTTATTTCTATCATTCACAACTCAAAAAGAAGTAGTCATTATCAAAATCAATATGGTGGGAGTTAGTATTCTGAGTAAAAGAGAAATCTGCGTACCGTTTGTGAAGCAATCTTCAACAAAGCTTTTGCTAAAGGCAAAACGCAGAACCTTAAGAACAGCAAAACAAAGTTAACAGTCAAATCAAGACCTTAAAAATTGGAATTAAACTGTTTTTTTAATTAAAAAAATTCGATTACATTCCACGGCCACCTTCCATTGCTTGATCTGATGGGTCCTTCCACTCATCAAACCTGAAAAACACAAAATTTATGCATTCAAATTCAGATATGTGTTAAACTGACACACACACACACATACATAAAGGCCAGGTAGGCGGCGGGCGGAGTGACGGCTTACACCCAACCGTATCGGCGATCGAAAATCAGGGATTTAGCGGGACGATTAGAGTTGCGATGGTTCAACTTCAGGCTCGATTCCATTGCTTTGATACGCCAGTGGTCATGGAGTAGTCTCAGAAAGAGTGATGAGTTGGGACTGCTTGGGCGAGCAGATTATTGTGCATTCCGATTAGTTTAGGAAACCCCTTTTTTTTTTCTTTTATTACTCCCTCCGTCTACAAATAAATTTTACGTTCACTATTCACAGGGTCAAACTTTATTCACTTTGTTGGCCTATTTGCACCACCCATTTGATAAAATAATATAGTCATGTCACCTCTAGTTTTGTAGATCTTTTGACATAGTTTTTTAATATGCAATTTTTATTTTTCAATTCTACACCATTTTTCATATAAAATGATTGGAAAATAACTTCAGTCAAACATCGTAACGCGTAACGTAAAGTTTATTTATGGACGGAGAAAGTATTATATTACGGAGTATTAAAAACTTTACATTTAATTATTAAACCGTAATTCCTATTTTACTCATCACGCTTTACACGTATGTCAAACTTAACAAACTATATACACTGGTCACCATTTTACGAGATCTACCCAAAAATTTAATTTTTAACTAAAATGGTCAACTTTAAAAATAATTCATATTTTTGAGTAAATAAATATTATTTTATTTTGTAAATAAAATAACAGCTAGCTACTAAGCCGGTTTTCAGGTCATTACAAATTATGTGTCATTTATAAGTAAGTTCTCATACTCATGATCCTCAAGTGTTATCTCCATGAATTTCTCTTCTTCACCTCTTTTTTTGTGGGTTTGAACTTTTGAGCGCCCAACAATTTTCCCAATGACATCTACAATGAGCGAGAACAACTATAATGTTGGCTTTTGTTCTCAATCAATTTAAAATTTTCTTGGCGTATTTGGTAATATCATTTAGAAAGAATTTATACTAATTAAAAGTTGATCAGTCAAACAAGACTAAACTTGAATGCTATGAAAGGATTTTAAATTGAATTTTATTTTTGGAAAATCATCTTCACTCGGAGTTTTCACTTTAGTCTTGGCGTAAAAAACCAACAATGAAAAATGTGAGGTTGTCTTGCATGAAAAGTAATTATCATGAACAAAAATAGTTCTAACTCCAAAGACACAATCTGCGACGATTTAGTTTTAAAAACACTTCTTTTTGAGTTTTTTAAGATGAGCATATATCCTTGTCCCATGTCAAAAATGAAAAGTATTAGGAATATTATTTGTAAGTAGGTGAATATTGACAAATACATTAAATAGTAAACATACATGTTTGTCATGGATGACGACTCCCATCGAATCACNNNCCCCCCCCCCCCCCCTTGTCCAAGCCAGAATAAAGTAGACATGTACAGTTCGTAATTTCAGCATCCATGTTGTACTGTGCGACTATTATCAATTTGGTTAAGGGCGTTCCACATTTCCATGGTAGGTTTCTGGGACATATTTTACGCGCTTGTCTTACACGAATAAGCTTTCAGTATGGTGATGGTTGATGTTGTGAATGAATTGTAGTACATTGGTTCTATAAATAGTTAGAAAAAGTGTTACTCTAACTACTTCAATTAATGTGAAAGAACTTTCAAGATTTGTCAATCTATTCATTTAATTAGAATGAGACATAAAGGTACTGGATAATGTAAAAAGCAGCCCATTACATTAAATGTTGATTGCATGCCTGATCTAAAGCACTCCAAATGCATGTGACCATAGTCTTGTTCTAACTACTTCAACTAATGTGAAAAATCTTTCAAGATTTGTACAATTTATTCATTTAATTCGAATGAGACATAAAGGTATTGTGTAATATAAAAAGCAGCCCATTGCACTAAATGTTGATTGTGACCATAGTCTTATTCTAACTACTTCAATTAATATCAAAGAACTTTCAAGATTTGTACAATCTATTCATTTAATTCGAATGAGACATAAAGGTGTTGTATAATGTAAAAAGCAGCCCATTGCATTAGATGCTGATTGCATGTCAGATTTAAAGCACTCCAAATGCACGCGACCATGGAAATTTCAACATTTCCCAATAAATCACCCCAACTTCAGTAGCCCAACACACCTAGAAAGCAAACTGTCATTCCCAAGAGTTCGGGCCATAATTAGCATCCCAAATCTAGTTACCCGACCCCAAAAATTGGGCGGGAATAATGTTCATTTTCCCTTACACCATTATATATATAAAGATGGGAAATAAGATGGTTGAGTATATAATATAGTTGGGGTCACCCCAATAATTCATGGGGGCAGTTGTCCAATGTACATAAAAAGGGGAACCAAAATCTCTGTTTTAGTTTAACAACAAAAGTTAAGAAAGTCGAACTAAAAATTCAATCATTCTCTCTTATCCATATCATCACTACATCATCTATCTTTAGATCTTTTATGTTTTAAACAGATACTCACAACCCATTTCTTTCATCCATCCATCCATTCAATTATTAACGAGTCCTACTTGTAATTTTTTATTTATTATTTTAAATAAGTCATACCCTTTATTATATTTAAAAAAAATATTTATGTTTTATTTGAATGTAATAAATGACAAATAAACTACAAAAAATATAAAATTTAATGAATTTATATTCAGAAGATTCAAATCACAAAAGATAATCACAACAATTTGATATAAATTAAATGAAATTAAAATTATTAAATAAAAATAATTTTTTTTAAAAAATTAAAAAACACTTATTGTTAAATAATAAAAGACATTGCATTGATAGAAAAACAACAGCCACGCTAAAATTTAATCAATTATAATTTCTATAGTGTATCCAAATATATTCAGATATAACTTTTATATTAGTTGTAATTAGTTGTTATAATAATCATTTTTATTATAGTTAAATAGTCATTATATTAATTATTATTTTTTATAATAATTAAACTAGTAATAAAATTAAAATAATTGATTATATCATTTTGTTAATTATTTACTATAATATAAATATTTATATAATTGAAAAAATGAAATCAAAGAAATGGATTGTTTTTATTAAAATATAAATATTTTTATAATTAAAATATTCTTCCTTGTGGATGGTGTTTAAAAGTTTAAACATTTTATATCCTTTCTTCATCCAACACATTTTTCACATTAGTTTAAACATTAATATGCATTCATTCAAAATATTAAATAGTGATTGAACGGCACGGATGGATGTGTGCTCTAAGAGCAGTGGCAACGGCGTGCCATTTTAGCCGGCACGCTGCCACATAGGATCTGCCTTGACCAAGTCAGCAACTGCCTCGCGTTCCTTGTCCGTTCTTCCACGGTAAGTGAGGCAGCTTCAAGGCTGCCACACTCTATTTTTTATTTTCTAAATTATGTTAAAAATTTAAAAAATGACTGTGCAGTTTTTAATTGGTTGAATTATACCACATCAGCGTGTGACATTCCATTTCTTTATTTGCCATTGTCAATGCTCTAAGAGCATCTCCATCCCTTATATTAAAATTCATCCATCCAATCAATCTTTCTCATCCACATCTACTCTACATCATTAATTTTTAAATATTTTATTTTTTAAATAAATATTCACAACCCATTTGATCCATCTATTGCTTTAATTAATTATTTATGTGTCCCAGTTTCATTTATTTTATTATATATTTTAAACAAAAATAAATATTAAAACTATAAAATTAAATATTTAGAAATTATATGAATTTATATTTAGAAAAATAAAATTAGAAAAGAAATTACAACTGTATTTTAATTAAAAATATTTAAAAATTTTGAAATTAAATATAGAAAATTAAATATTTTAATTAAATAAAATAATTTAATATTTTGAAAATATGTACTCCATCCGTCCCACTGTCTTTGTCCACTTACCTTTTGGCAGACCATCCAATGCACTTCCTTAATCCATTTTATCTTGTAATTTGTATATTAAAAAATTATAGAAATTATATATTAATAATCTATATGTTAAGACAAATCAAACAAAATCAGACATGACTATATTTAGGCTTACGCATTGAGAGAATTTGATGAGTCAAAGTGCTTAGATGAACAGTTCCAAAAGTCAAAAGTGGACAAAGACAGTGGGACGAAGGTAGTATTACAAATTGAATATTTAAAATAGGATTGACTCCAGTCAGATGACATGTTTCGGTCAGATGACACTTTCGGTCAGATGACAACGAATGCTCATTCTGAATCAATGTAGTGCTCATTCTTAAACAACGTAGGATTCATTCTCACGCAACTGTTAATCACAATGTAGTGTTCATTCATAGCCAGCGAGACGACAACATAGGGTTCATTTTGAATCCACGTAGTGTTCATTCTAAGACATTGTAGGGTTGATTTTCACACATTTGTTCATTATAAACGTAGTACTCATTCTGAAAGAACATAGTACTCATTCACAGTGTGCTCAATGTAGTTTTCATTCTGAATTAAGGTGGTGCTCATTCTCAAACAAGGTGGTGCTCATTCTAAAGCATGTCATCTGACCGAAAGTGTCATCTGACCGAAAGATGTCATCTGACTGGAGTCAATCCCATTTAAAATAAATATAATCAATATTAAAATTAATAAGCCCCATATTTAAATGCATCTAATGGAATGTCTGTCCATCCATCAACCATTTAAAAGTTAAAACACCTTTTGAACATCTGAGATACCAATGGAGATGCTCCAACTTATTCTCTCATAAGTATCTTCTTTCACAATGAGGGATTCCTCCAGAGTAAATCATCTCTCCTAGAATCCTTTATCATCTTCTTCCGTTAAGGTTAGCGTTCATGGATCCAAAAGTGAAGTTGGGCTCAATAGCATTCCCGGTTGATGTCGATTCGAACAGAGGAGTGGCTATGGAGATCGGCAGTAGGTTCGCGAAGCCCTCGACCTTTCACACGGATTCATATAAGCCGACTGGGGCGGGTAAGCCTTAAAAACAGCTATAAAAAATCACAAGTATTGTTTGGCCGGGAACATTATAGGTGTAATGATTCTATTGAGGAGAATCTGTGTTATACGTGTACCAAATATGGCCTATCCTGCTGTGACATTTCGTTATTTGCTTGATTCATGTTTTCGATTTGCTGGATATGAAGGTGTTTAGGGACTTGATTTCCTACTTGAATCCTGATGCGAAGCATTTTTCTAATTTATAGAAAAGCATCCAAAGAGTAAGAGATATCACAGAAACATAAGAAGAAATTGCAATTTTCTGGGATTGGTTGTGTAGTTTAATTTCACTCAGTGCACACTTCCTTGATGATGGTTGGGACTTGGGAGTTGCTGAAAATATTGGGAAGCTGTATTTCAAATTTCCATTTGTTGATTTTTAGGCCTAATGGGATGAGTATGTTGGAGCATTTTCGTTTCTCTATCCTAACCACACAAGTTTGATGAATTTCAGAATCTTTAGTTGTGATGTGTCATGAAACTAACACATTTTTGAGAGTTGTGCCATTTTTATTTCAGTTGTTTTTTTTTCCAGAAACTTGTTTTATATTTTACCTAGTAGTGAACTGCCTAACGCACTGTATTCCTAAGGAGCACAAGTCATATTTACCTCCGTGCACAGTCATGCAGTTTGGGTAACAGATCTGTTTTTGTTTTCTCATTCTTTTGTGATGATTAGCTTTTTTGCATATGTAATTTAGGTTTCTGCTAGCACTTTGAACCTGTGATATCAGTATTTGTCTCATAGTAGCTGATCATTTCTCACTTAGAGGATTAGGTGTTGTCGTTATTTCTATGAGCAAAATTTGTTGCATCATACATAGCTCACCTATTTGGAAAAATTTAAATGAAATTTTACCGATCATATATAGCTCGGGTTACGTTAGAGTCACAACTCACAAGTGATTGAGTGGTATAGTTTTGTTATATTGTCTCTTCAATTCATCATATGAGGATGTACGATGTATGAGTTACTTGTGCAGGTTGCAGTGGGGTGTTTATGATGAGTAAAACATGGAGAGATGAGCAGAACCCATCGTTTCTTAATTTTGTTTCCAGCTTCTTACAGGAAAACTCTTTTCGTCTGAATATCGTCCCAATAGCACCGGTGAATAGACCATTTCATCCCATGCTTATATTGACAATCTTCTTTCACCTGCTACTAATTTATGGCTGCTATAACAGGATATAATCATTAACTGTGGGGGTGTGTCTGTTGCATTCATTTTTGTGACTAATTGGGACAGTGCGAAAACAGCATCATTATTTTGCAGGTAAATTTTTCTTTTACTTTTCAGGTGAATGCCTGTGAGTTTGGCTAATGTTGTCTAGTTGTTATTAGAGTCAAGAAGCTAAAGGGGCAATTTGCAAACCTCTATGTGGTTGTGACCCTTCCAACTAGAGAACAAAACGATTCTTTCAACTGCTCTTACTTCAAGTGAGTCCTTTATGTTTTTTTGTGTCACTGTATCATGAATGTTTTGCTATTGAATGGCCTAATAAATGCTTATTCTTTTAAGGTACAATATGGAGCTTGGAAAGCCAACTTTTGTTCCAGTGAGTAATTTAGAGACGGGGTTGGAAAAAATTGTGAAGATTGCACATGCTCGTGGGGGTAAGAATGCTCAAACTTTGGTCAATGGAATCTTTATGCATATTTTAACCTAATGTTACTACTTGCAGTGTGTAGAAAGCAGAATGCTGTAGAAAAAATGAAAGCTGAGGTTATGTCTTGATATTTTTCTTTAATTGTACACAGTGAATACTTTGTTTTAAGTGATTTACTAAGATGTTATTATGTCACACTCTTAGAAGGAAAAGTCAGTTCAAGCAATGGATGCCTATCTCAAAGTGGTCACATCGATTCCTGGCATTGACAAGCATGATGCAATTGCAGTAAGAACCCATATTCATCGACTCTTGTTTGATGGAGTTTACCATACTTTGATAGCTCTCTATTGTCTAAGTAACTATCACTCGAAGCTTTCATCAGAAATCGAGTCAGATTTGTTCTCACAGTTTAGTGCTTGGTCTTTCTATATAAACATCCATTGCATTTTTCCCCTCTTGCAACTCGGAGAATTATTGGGAAAGAATATAGTGAGGAAAATATAGAGGCAAATGAAAAGGATAGAGCATCTAAGTCATAATTAAGCCTAGACTAGATGAAAAACAATGCAACTGGAAAGTAACTGTTCATTGGTGTGAAAGAGCACACATATTTAGGATGCTTTAACTAGAAGTCAAGCATAATACTACTCTTAATCCGAACTCTATTTGACAACCGTAATGCTATATCACACACTGTAGCAACAATACACTGATATAACTTGCTGAATAAGGGAACTGACTGTTTTCGTTCCTTTCCTTTTCAGCTTTACCAAGCCATCGGTTCCATTGAAGCAATAGCCAAAGCATCAAAGCAATGTATTCTTGACAACACCGACCTTTCGGTTGAAAAGGCTGAAAGAATATCAATGTTTTTCAGAGACCTCAAGTATTCCCTTCGTCCCAAAATCAAATGAGTTCTAATGCAAAAAGTGATGTGAATGAATCCAGGATTCGGGTGTATAAGGTGAGAAGGTTCATTTTTAGAGTTGGATCAAACATTTACACTATGTTTGGTTCAAAGATTTTGAAAGAAAAAAAAAAGAAAATGAGATGGAAAAGAAATTTTCTTGTTTGGTTAGAGAGGAAAAGAAAAGAAAAATGGAAGGAAAAGAAAATGAGAATGCAATATGTTCTAAGAGGAGGATAAACAAAATTCCCCCCATTTTGGTGAAGAAAATGAGAGAAAATCATTTTCTTTTCTTTTCCATCCGAATTCCTTGAACCAAACATAGTGTTAATATTGTCCACATTTGAAACAGAGTGAATTGTATGGATTAGAATAGAGAAGTAATTAAACTGCTTTATTAAATGGTATTCAAGGTT